TGCCTATTTTAGAAGTGTTCCAAAGCACCGTCTGGATGCAGAAATTCCAGCTATAGTCAGAGGTCTGAGTGTTCTTCTGACTTTTGATAATATTACTGCACTTTTTTAACATAACTGTATGTTGGATTTGACTTGTTTAGTTTTTGAGCACCTTGAGAATGCCTTGTGGAATAACCATGAATGTTTTTACTGAAAGACAATATTAGTTGGTCCCTGAAGTAGCAATATGTAAGAATTTAATGTCAAGTCATCATTAAATGGCCCTAATCTGTCAAAAGGCATTTATAAACATTGTCCAATACTTCTTTAACAGTAGTTCAGCCGAGATACAGTATTCACATTTCAAAATTAGTTACAGCCCCTAAATCTTGTTATTGTTTTCATTTTGATGTCCCGCCCTCCACAGTTTCACCAATCAGAAAGTCTGATCCGGGTTGCCAGAACTCACCGTGTCAAGCTAATCTCACTGGTAAAGTAACCAGTGAATGTGGCCGCAGAACTAAAATAGGTCTTGTTATGCTTCTCAAATCATTAATGACAAAACAAGAAATAAAAAGAGGATTTCTTTTGGGGATGCCTTGGTGAAAAAGGTGTTTGTTATTGATTTTTTTTGTCTATTCTGTTATTTTGGTCCCAGCTGGATTTGTCTGCATATCTGCCAAACTGCAAGAAGTGACAGAGGTTGCAGTACCACTTTTGGCCAGATTTGTACATACTGCTCTAAAAAAATGAATTAAATTATATGCCATTGCAAACTGAATATTTGATCAATTTTTTACATCCTATTTTTGAGATTATATTTTCAAACATTTTCAAAAATATATACCAATGACTATTTTTCTATATCACTATGTCTCTATGTCATTTACAGTATACAGTACATAGCAGTGTTTTCTTTAAAGTCATAACATTAAGTAGAAGGCAATTATCTGACTCCAAGGATACTGAAGTGACAAACCGTGAGCTGGTGATGGTTTATGCAGCAGATGAGAGGAATAATGTTTTTCAGGCGACATTCAGAATGCTCTAACCTGAAGTGATCCAAAGACACACACACACACCCACCACCTATAAGTTACACCACACTCCCACACTCCCACACTCACGGTCACACTCGGGGCCATCAGTAACCAGAGCCGCTGCTGCTTTGCTCCAGCTTTAATGGAGGGCCTGACCTCCGCTATGCCGAGTTATTTCCACCATCCCCAAATTTTCAAGCAGCCGCACAGAAGAAAAGAAAAAGGCATAAGAAAAGCGGAGAATTCCAGGGCGGAGGGCTTTTTTCACCATAAACCTTTAATTTCTTTCATCTTGCTTCCCAATTTACAGGGTCCCAAGACCACTTATTCTGAAATGAGAAGGAAAGCAAAAAAATAAAAAATAAATAAATGCACACAAAAAAAAAAACACCATGGTGAGGATAGCGTTTGCAACAACTGCGGCTTTATGTCAGGCCAGTAAAAGCAGTCTTTCTGAGTTATTACCAGCTGCAGTCCGGGCTGTCACTGTAAACGGTGAGTTGCCGTTTTATTTTTGTAGTTTAGGGGAAATATCGTTTGGGGAATAAACACTGTACTTGCTGCAGTAAAGCAATCTCATCCCGGTACTGTGGTTAAGGTCGGACAATGTTTACGATGAGCTGATATAAACGCAGTAATTATAATTTCTCACACTGTTTCCTACAAGGTGACATGGGAACTGAAGGAGGGTTGTATAAGAAACTAAGAGCCTCACCAATAATTGTCATAGTGACTCGAGGAAACACTTTCTCACACAAAAGGCTCAACCTACAGGACACTTATACAAGGCTTTTTAATGCAAGTGCTCCCAAATTTGAATGTTGGAATATATTTGACTCTATGATAATAACTCACTCATTACTGTATGTTGCTGCAAATCCCCTAAGCTCAGTTAAAGTTTCGGACTTGTGTTACAATGCACCTATAATTCTATTCTTTAGAGATTGTCCCCGCTATAGCAAGTGTAATCTAACATATGCAAAGGGCCTAATACACAGCTCCTCAGTGACAGATGTGTTTAAGTCTGTGCTTCAAACAGCTCTGGGACAATCAGCCTGGAAACGCACAATGTGTCTCTGCTTAGATGAATACAGGCCTAGTGAATAAAGAGAGTGATCCAAGGCCATTTCTGTGAAAAAATACCCTTTTAGAAATGGTATTACTCACACTTTGAGACACAACAGTCCGGTGAAAAACTGTCGGTGTGCAGATTAGACAATATTTAATACATAAGGATTGTTTGAAATGAGGAAAATGACAGAATAATCTTTACCACAATGTGCAAAATAATCATTCAAATGCAAAGAGATATGTATTATGAATAGAATATTGACTACATAACAGTCACTCTACCAGCATTATTGTAGATACACAGACAAATAGTTTTAGAATAAGCACAAGGCACAGACAGTGTCATGCGGAAAGGGTGTCCAAGGAAGAGAAGTCCATTTAAAGTCCATCAAAAGCCTCACAAGTCCCAAACACACACTGTGTTTGTCAGAGAAGACCACCGATGTGGAAATCTCATCTCCACAGCTCAGTGTGTCACAAAGCAATCACTCTCATTCACCTTCTGTGTCCACCATGTCATCTCCAGTACTACAGGGAGCTAATGCTACATTAGGAACTAGTCAACTCCTCTCAAATCATATTTTTATCGGCGTTTACAGCAGTTCGAGGGAGATGGGAGAAGGTGAAGTTACAGCAAATATTTTGTTATGGAAAGTAGTGAACACCCTATAAAAGACTTAATATTTAAAAATGTTTAAATAAGTAAATTATTACAATTAGTCTATTACAGGGGTTGGCAATGTGGTCCCTGTATAAGTAGCTTAATTCTGCTCCGCTAATGAAAATCTATGTTGACCATGACACCATCAACCAACTAGGCTGGCTAACTCTAGTGTTCGTGACAGAAAGATATGCTGTTTGTTTATGATTCTAAAAATAATTCTTAATCTTGACTTGGGGTGAAGAAGCCAAGACGATGGCTCACTTCTACCTGAATTCCCTGAACGCAATTTTGTATTTCTCTAATGCATGATTACAGCTTGTTTTGCTGTTTGAAAAGAGACATGCTACGTAAACATCAATAGGATTAGTTTTCATTGATATTCATGAGCCAATGGCAGGGGATAAGAGTGATATATACAAGACTTGGCACTGTCTGCCAGATAAGCTTTCTCTGGCCCATGGCGATGCTATTCAATTTCATGACCTGCGCAATGCTATTGGGGAAAACAGGGGAGGGAGGCAGACATTATTGGATAACCAAGCCTGCAAACATAATTTTAAAGCACACAATATTATCAACTTTGAGTGAAAATGCTTAAGTGAAAAGCACTTTTATTGATCAGGGAACTGAGATTAGGGATTGACTGAGAAAATAGTTCTAGGTGAAGACCAAGATGGTGCCGTAGCAAGAGCTCTGTCCAGGAGTCTGGTGCACACTGGGGACTTTTGCACATGTATTCCCATGTGTTGTACTGAAGACGACTAATAAACAGAATCTGTATCTGAAACACAATCAATGGTTTCCTTTATTTAGTGAAAAGCAACCTGGATAAATGTAGATGTCCTTGAAGAAATTCAAGATGATATACACAAAGGGGAAAACAAAATGCAAACCCTGCCAATATAATGAATTGAATTTTACAAAGAGAAATAGAACATTTGCCTCTGAGTGTCATTGTTAGAAAGCTGTGCACGTCAATGCTGGAGTTGTATAGGAGAAGCTTGGTCCGCTGACTTACTTAAGCGGTTGTGTTGTGTCTGGGTAGAATGGTCGATGTTTACCCCCTCATCATTCACTCACACACGTGCGCACACACACACTCACACACACACAAACCATTCACAACCCACAGGTGCAGTGCATTTTCACAGCGGGACAGGTAGAGCCACTGTGCGGAGACGGCTTGGAGCAGAGGTCAACCTATTCAGTTCATCAGCAGTCGAAACCAAAGAACAGTGGGAGAGAAGCATGCAAACACGCTCAAGGAACAGATTATCAAGCCAGGGCCACTGCACACGCCGTCTGACTTTTGGGTGTTTGCATAGAAGACTGGGTAAGATAAGTCAATGCACATGAGACAAAGGCCTAAACGTTTGTGTCTGCAACGGCATTGAGTTCTGGAGGTTTTAGCTTGGAGTTTTATAGTCAACTCGGATAACGATGGGGAACATGTTGAGTTTTTTAAGTCCATCTGGCCACAGACATTTCATACCGACGAAACTGAAAATTCGAAATGTTCAACGGACTATAAGTTGACAGATAAAATGACTTGAAACATACATGGAACAATAATTGAATAAGAGCCAACAGATTTACTGATGTATTAAATGTAGTGATCCCGATTGGATTCATATTCAGCTGACAGTAGAACCATTTTCAGTATGAGTGAATGATTGGCAGTGGATGAAGGGCCTGATGCCATAGATGAGTAGCTTCCATCACTCTCTTGCTGCTGTGTTACAGAAGCAGTTTACATCACCGTATACGGAGTGAATCTAAAATGCCTTGTGACACAAATTTGAGTGTTCAGGAAATCACTATATTAGAACTGCATTATCAAACATTATAATCATCATATACCATTAGTAGCCCTGATGATAAATGGTACTTCCTCTGATTCAAGGAATAGTGGTTCAATCTTGCTTCTAGCTGTAGATAAACTGACCAACAGCTACTGGAAAGTTTTTAGTTCCTTGAAATTAATGGTTTGGTTATGTCCTTAGACATTTAACTTGGCTTTCCTCCTGTGTCTGCAAATACTGGGGTGTGACTATTTGTAAACAGGTAGCTAGTTGACATGAGCTTTGAGGTTTTTTTTAGGAAAAAGGCATTTTCTTTATATATAATGTGCTCTATTATTAATTGGCAAGTCGACTTCTTCAGTTTCTTCCTGCACATACAGCTTTTGAGATTTCCCAAAGCTCATTTGATCAATATTGGCTTGTGTGGTATATTATTGATCTTACCTTCTCGTAGTAGCGCAGCTCATAGTCCAGGATGATGCCGTTGGGTTGTTCGGGTTGTGGCCATGACAGTGTGAAACTATTCATGGTGGAGCTGATCTGGTGCATGATGGGAACAATCGAAGGAGCTGCGGGGTACAAACACAGCAAGAGAGCAATGCATGAGGACAAAACCGCTGACAGGATTAAATACAAACACAAATGCCCAGAGGAAATGAAACAGGTAGGAGGCCTCGCAACGATAAGATACAGTTAAATTTTGTGTATAAAAAAACTGGTTTGTGGCAAAGACAGCTATTGTGGTTAAAATAGCACCACAACTCTCACAAAAATGTAGCAGTTTCTCACTTTTCCAACAATAGAGAAGGCTGAAAATGCCACTTCCACCCAAAAAGAAAACTAGCACTAAACACAGACAATTGAAATCAAAATGAACATTTCCTTTCACCACTGATTGCAATTGTCTGTTTTTTGGCAGCTCCGAATGCAACATATTGGGACAAATGAGCGAACAATGCCAACTTTTGGGAGGCACATATCGCCTGTTCATGTTCCCATCTTCACAGTTTATCAACACACAATTAAAGGGTTTCGCTTTTTGCACAGGACCCAAGATGAAATAAATGCCACACTACCGAGCTGCAAGCAGGTAGCAACAAGCCGATTTCAAGTCCCTCTCATGCGCACTTTAGCGGCAGGAAATCCAACAAAAGCCGCCTTTGGCCAGAATCCGGCTGCCATATTTGGATGCAGTACAAGGCTACGTACAGTTAGCAGAACTCACAGTAGCTTTCTGCCAGTGCCGCCGTGCCGAGGTCTGGCATAGGTTCAGCTAACAGTCATTTTGGATTAAGGCCACTATAATTCTGGCTACCTGAATGGACTACGCAAGTCAGGCACAGCGGGACATTCTCAAGTTTTGAATGGGAAAAAATCAGCATCAAAAGACTTGGGTGCCTCAATCATTACATCATACTCGAAGGTGATGCATAATTTTGCTTGTTTGCAAATATGAATAGACATTACTTGTAGATGCAGCTTGGAGAAGGGCACATTTTTGCTTTCACAATATCTTAAAGGTATCATCAAGACTATTGGTCCTCATAATTGACAATAATTCTGGTGATACGTGCTCTTCAAATAAGACCAGAGAGTTTTTTTCTTAAAAGTGGAGAGGGTTAGTTATGTGATAAATACATCCAACTAGGTCCTCGCTCTGAAAATAGTTGTTTCTATCACTACTTAAAGAAGCATGTATTTTTTGCCTCTGTCACATTTTTAAATCAGGTTTTTTAGAGCCTCACCCTCACTCAGAAAATCAGCTCTTAGTAAATGTTTCTTTTGGGTAGGAAAAGATATTCATGAAAAAAAAAACAAATGTTCAAGGTAAACATTTTATATTTACTCACACGTCAAATATATCTTTTATGAACACTTTTCTGAAGGTATTAAAAAAGTATTGAAAAAGAATTGTTTTCAGCACATAATACCACAAAATGTTTTCTGACAAACTGCAGAATCCGTGCAATTCTGTTGACATGTTTTTTGATCCATGATAACAGTGTGACATACCGAGACATAATGATGGGCAATTTCAGATAAGGAACAAGACGGATACCTGCAAGTAACAATGGACGACACAGATAGAAAATGATAGAACACTAAGACCACCGTGTATTTAAAGCTGCAATACAGTATACTACTTTTGAACAACTACTTTTTTTGGTAAACATAAAGCTTTTTTGTGCTTTTTTGTGAACTTTGTGAACTTCCCAATATTAAAGTCTCTTTTACAGCTATGTTATACTTTATACTTTAGCAGAAATAAAGTTGTACGAGAATCTCTGAACGTTTGAATGGCAAAAATCCATAAAGCAGCCCCTAATAGAATGAAGCTCTTGTTGTGATGTGGGCTGTAAATGGGTAGTGTTTAGGCTACAGCTCTCTCTCTCCTGTAGAGAGGAGGCTTCAGCCCAGCCTCTCAGCCTGGTTCATGCTCCACTGACCAGGGCCAGCGTTGCCTGCACCGCATTATCAATTACCGGCCACAGACACACACTGTTCCTGACAGACCCACGGGAGGGGCACTCCGCTCTCAAATTCCTGCACTCAAGAGATGGGGCTAAACAGGACGGGGCTTACACAATTTGAACCCAGACAAGTCAGGAAAGGTAGAGAGTTTAAGATCAACACATTTTCTTAATGGGATTGAATAAAATATGTTCAAATGTAAATGCATTTCATTAGATGCAACACAATTGTAAGTAAAGGCAATATATATGCAAATGCGTACACAAACTGGAACAATATCTATCAATGCTCACAATGACTTGAGATAACTAACTGAAGTGGTCAGTTTACCTACCAGTCATTCACATTGGTACCATGAAAAGGCTTTGGTATTTTCAAATTTAACAGCATGTAGCAGATTAGTCAGGGAAACTATTGTCTAAACATGGACAATGGATAGATTTAGGCAGAGTTGTAGCCTTTAATACTTGTCACCTTCCCACATAGTTCTGCTAAAGAGGAGGTGAGCGCGTGCCTCTGTCCGGCCCTGGCTGTCAGCTCTCCCTCAGCGTTAAACTCACATGTGGACTGATGGGCTGGTCATGTCTCGCTGCAGGTGAATGAGGGCGCAGGGGGCCAATCCAGGCCCTGTCAGACTTGATATGTCTCTTTTTGTTATAACATAACAAGGAATCAGGTGCACTTCCATTTGTAGCAGAATTAAACTACAGTGCTACCTACAGATATCTAACAAATGGCCTTTGAAGTTGAAATGCTGCGTAGGCCCGCGACAACAGTGAGAAACGGAGGAGGGTTGTTTTTTTTAAATCGTGCTGGTTTTTCTCCATGGGAAAGACTTCCAAATAAAGCACATGGGGAAGCACATCCAAATAAAGATTCTAAACACACTTCCAACTTTCAATGTATGTCTTTTAAAGTCACAGCGCAAGTGAACTCAGGATCCCAGGGAATCACATTAAAATGGAGGCAAGCTTATCATCATCAAACATATTTTTACAAGGAAAACTTTGATGGTAAGAGCTATTATGCAAAGTATTGTCCCTCATGTGACTTGTGTGTATTCTCATCTGACCTACATGTCAGTAGCAGGCTATATTAAAGTTGGTTTTTGTATCGCTGTCTAAATTGCTGCTATATTTGGTTATAGTGTTACCACTTAACACACACAATACCATGGTCAAAAGGCATTTTGGAAGACGTTGTTATGTTATGCTAGCCCAGAGTGTAAGGAAAGGGCGAGCTGGCGTTTTGGTCTGGTGTCAATATATCTACAGGGACCAACAAAAACCCTCACAGCGGACATTACCCCTTACTGCAAGGGTGTCAAACTGGTCCTCAAAGGGCAGATGAAGCTGCAGGTTTTCATTCCAACCAAGCTGGAGCACACCACACTCCACCCATATCTTCAAATGAGCCCAGTCTGAGTGTGAAGACTCAGATTGTGCAAAAGACAGAAGTGTATAGTGTATAGAAGATAACATAGTCTGTGTGAGGATATAATTATGTACAATAAAAAGTGGTAATAAAAGACAGAGTGGCAATAGCAGTGCAGGTTTTTTTTTTGTAGGAAATGGGTGGAGTTGGGTGTGCTCCTGCTTGGTTGGAATGAAAACCTGCAGCCACACTGCCCTTTCTGGAACCATTTTGACACGTCTGCCTTACTGGGATAATGTTACATCTTCCCACACAGAATGGGGAAGAATTGCGTTGCATATGTTCACACACATCCTCTTGTTCACGGCCTGTCACCGAAAAGCTGACGTATATATGAGAAAAATCCCCTTGTACCACCACCACCACCACAGCCTCTGTCACCCCGGGGTCCCTGGTGCTGACAGTGATCGGTGGCCATGTTCTGTGCTCCCGTCTACTCCTCCAAAGCTCGCCATGCCCGGCTCTCCTGCTCCACTTTTATCTGGCCCCTACTCGCTGCCCCCGGCTTTGAATGCACAGCTCGCCTCACCATTAATCAAAGTCAGAGCGCCTGTGTGTGGATGAGACGGAGAGGAGGAGGAGAAGGAGAAGAAGGAAACCGAATGAAAAGAAAGACAAAAAGATGTGCTTCGTTATTTTGTGCGAGTCGGGGTAGAATACTGAAGGTTTTTGCTGGTCTGTCTATATTTTCATTAGATTTTAGCATTTTGATAGGTGTGACGAACTGGCTACAGCATGACAAACTCAAAATGGCAGTCCCAGCTCTTGTCAAGTGAAAAGAATTGTATGAGGAAAGACCTGGGTGTACAAAAAAGCTAATTCTCATTTTTACAGATTCTACATTTCTGTAACTCGATGTCCAATGCATGATCTATTTGTGCTTATTAATTCTAGCATGGCTCAGCATAAACCTCATACAATTTAATATGAGCAGAGGTAGGAATTATAATTGTAAAGTGCGGCCCGTTGTGCTGAGCATGCTAGATGCCACAGTACTGGTTTATTACATTATTTATATTACATGTTTTTTTTATCATTCAGATAAATATGTCAAATTCTACTTCTGCAGAGTATAACGTTTTCCTAGTGGTGGTTCTGCAATCTGCAAGTCTCTGGACATCATTTTGCTTCTTTTGGAATGCGAAACAGCACGGCATTACATTTATCTCATTATATCGCCCTGAAGGAAACAGGTGCGGCTATATCTGTGGAAAGGGGATAAACGTAAAATAAGAATATTAATGTACTGCTTTTTTCCTCATATCAATGGTCTTTTATTGACCAGGAAAGTCCCACTGAGATTTCAGAAACTCAGAGGAAACTAGCCCCATGAGAGAGCTATTGTACGTGGGCTTGTTTTCAGTGGTAGGGGAAACTGGAGCACCCGGAGGAAATCTACACAGACATGGGGAGAACATGCAAACTCCACTCAAAAGGCCTTACCTGGAGGTGGATTCAAAGCCAGAGTGCTAACGCATTTTCAATCGAGGCAAAAATTCAGATTTGGCTTGGAAAACAACAATAAGAGTTATGTAAGATATTTTAGACAGTTAAAAACACTTCACGTTGCATTATTCCAGATATATCCAAGGAAAAACGGGGGAAGTGTCTTACCTAATTGGACACCACAGTAGAAAAATGTTTTGACATAACAATTTTGATA